AAAAATGTTTAGAATTTTATTAAAAAATTTAGTTATAAATAGTGTGTTAAGTCTAAGAAAGGTTAACAGTTGTTTTTATTCTTTCAACAGATTCAACATGGAGTTAAAGGTATAGTAAAGGAAAGACTATAGTAAATGCGAAAATTATATAATTTTTTCATATATTCTTTAGGTATTAAGTATATTTTTCTTGCTGACAGCTGGCACTTGTTATGGCCAGGTGCAAACACAACAACAGCAGCAACAAAGTAGTCGAGCTCAGGGCAGAAGTTTTGGTTTTGGTGGTCCCTATTTTGGAGGTTATGGTTCTGCTTATGGGCAAAGCAATTCTTTTTCCAGTTCCGCTTCCTCCTCCTTTAATCAGGGCTATGGTGGCTATGGAGGTTATGGTGGTTATCCTGGTTACGGCGGCTATCCCGGTTATGGCGGTTATGGTGGTTATGGCGGATTAGGAGGTTATGGTGGTTACAATTCGGGTTATAGTGGCTATAGTAGTGGTTATAGTGGCTATAATTCTGGTTTTAGAGGTGGTTATGGCGGCTATGGTGGTTATCCCGGTTATGGCGGTCTTTATGGTTAATTAGATTTAAAATTTTAGTTTTTAATAAAAGTTAAATAACTGTTATTTTGGAAAATACTACTGTGTTTGAATATGTTAATCATTTCCACAAATTACATTGTCTTTTACAGTTTTGAGTTTAAGATTTGTATTTGGAGGTCAATAATCTTAAATATTCAATTAATAGTGTTTTAACAGTGATTCATTTCTAATTAACATATTTTTTTTATAAATTTGGGAATTTACGAAACTTAAAGTTGAATTTTTAGTAAAATGCAAACTTTTTCGACTATTCGTTGTCTTAACGTCTGTCTATTTCACGTGTTTATTAACCCATTCAAAACCAAACTTTGTATTTTTGACTAAATTAAAATTGTCAATAAAATTTACAAAGTTATTTGCTTAACAAATTTGTTTTTGGACAAATATCAATAATTTTAAAACGGTTTGTTTAATTTTTATCTCTTTGAGATACCGTCTTACAGCTAAATTACAATTGCTACCACCGACGACAAACGTTAAGTTTGACAGTTTGAGTTTTTTTTTTGAGGATCTAATAAAAATAGTGTAAAACAGGCATTTCAAATTCAGTGCTTTTTGGTATCGAAATTTTCTAACTTATAAACTTCTGATAACTAGTCGATAGACTAGACTATAGGCTAGACTAGAGTCTAGACTAAAGACTAGACTATAGACTAGACTGTATGACTAGACCAACACTTAACTTATAAACTTTTGATAACTAGTCAATAGACTAAACTATAGGCTAGACTATAAACTAGACCATAGACACAACGATAGACTAGACTATAGACTACACTATAGACTATACCATAGACTAAACGATAGACTAGACCATAGAAAAGACGATAGACTAGTTCATGGAAAATAGGCAATCGATTTGTCAATAGACTAGTCCATAGAATAATCAATCGACAAATTACTAGAATAGTCCATAGGCGAGTCAATATACTAAGTTTACTAACTAGTTCATAGAGAATAGTCGATAGTCTAGTCAATTGTCTAGACTAGTCAATAAACAGCACAAATTTCTAAGGAAAAATTATTTCATTCACTATAATGACGATTGTGTTTGTGGTCCCCATTTAAATCATAAAATCATCATTATGTTGTTGAAAATGGGTTAATTACGATCGCATCTTACAAATTTGATTGATAAAACATTTTCGAGACTACTTGCACATTTTACAACAACAAGACAACCAGCATTAAAACCGGAATATTTTCAGGGGCACACTAAACCAAAAATACAAAACAACAACAACATAATGTAAAAAAACGTAAATAAACTAAACATATTTAAGCCAAAATTAAATATTAACGAAAAAACAACAAAAAACCCAACTTAAATGGAATGGTTTACATATGGCTAGAGGTTTTCTCTGAAAAGGGCAAAATATGAATAAAAGTAAGTAACCACAACAAATCAGTTTCAGTTTTTACAAGACCAGCATCCAAATATAGATAAAAGTATAATAAAATAAAAAAAAAACATTAAAAACAATTGTTAACATAAAAGAAACGTTGAAACAAATTATTACCCCAAATAAAAATGAAAATATTAGTGAGTTTTAATAAAAAACAATAAAATTAAAATATTTTATTGAATTATGGTGTGATATCTTCCAGAAATTTTCTCTTTTGATTCTGTTGCTGTTAATTGGTGATGCTGTATGTGGCAAATTGAAATTGGTGGCCTTCAAAGGGCCCCATGCCGGTTTTGTTGGCGTTAAATTTCGTAGCCCCAAATTGTTGGGTTTCAAAAAACATGGTCTTGGTTTCGGTCATGGCTTAGGAGGTTTTGGTGGACATGGCCATAAAGGTTTTGGTGGAGGCGGCTTCCACAGCAGTGGTTATGAACATCATGAATACCATCACAGCGGCGGCAGTTTTGGCGGTGGCGGTTGGTTTGGCAAATAATTTATTGTTATTTTGAATTTATTTAAATTAATTTAAAATTTTTAGTTTATAATTTAATCATTTGTTAAACATGCACACAAAAAAATCTACATTTAGAGTAAATATCATTTATATTTAAATTAAATAAAAGCGAAGAAATTAGAAATTATCGTTAAAATAAATTAAAATCTTTTTTAATGAATCAATAGCTCCTTTACAACCACAACTAATTACAAGAAGTTATTTACCAAAAGTAAATTAACAACGGGGATGTAGCTCAGATGGTAGAGCGCTCGCTTAGCATGTGAGAGGTACGGGGATCGATGCCCCGCATCTCCAATCAACATTTTTTATGCTAAAACTTAAATGTTTTTTTAATAATTAAAAAACTAATAAAAAGTAACCGGGCTCAACCGGGATTTGAACCCGGGACCTCTCGCACCCAAAGCGAGAATCATACCCCTAGACCATTGAGCCTCATGCCAACAATGAACAATTTCTTCTATATATTATGGCAACAATACAATAATACTTTAGTGGTGAGAATATACAAACAGCCATTCACAATAAACATTTTGGTGTAAATAAATTCAACTCAATAATTCACAATCTTATACACAGTATCAAACTGTAACAATAGTAGGTGTTGTAGGTCGACCAAATTTCAGTTACCATAATGTCAAATTACATATGCATAAAATTTGACATATTATCATACTCCTTGCAAAAATGTTCACAAGTTCGACGCTGCAGTTATCTCATTCAAAATGGTTTGCGAAACAACAACAAAAACTACAAATGCTTTTATTTTGTTTTGTAAACACGTATCTTTTGCGCCAGAATCTCACAGTATTTTTCCTTTTAGTTGAGTTTGGTGTTAATTTCAAGAAAATTTATTAATTTATTAAATAAATGTTTGTAAAGTGTTTGTTATACAAATTAAGTAAATTTTAAAAGAAATAAAGTGTTTTTAAAGGAAAAAATTAAGAAATTGTTTTTTGCTCCAAGTGGCTCAACATATTTTTGTTGTTTTTTTAATAAAAGTTGTGTGGAAGTGTTAAATTTACAACAAATAAGTTGAATTGTTGTTGTTTATAGAAAATATGTTTAATATTTATTAAAATAATTACTTAAAATTATAAAACACCAATCATTGTGTACAATGGAAAAGGCAGCGCTGCTTACTGCGTTGATTGTTGTTGTTTGTTAATTTGTTTTGATTTTGTTTATGTGCTGTTGACTGCGCTGTTTATTGTGTTTATTAATTGTTGTTGTTATAACCAGAAAGAAAGTGTGAAAAATATAGCAGTAATTTAATTGAAATAATTAAAATTAAATTAATTGTATTTAAATTAATTAAAAAAATTATTAAAACGAAAAATAACTAAATAATGTGCTACATATTAATACAATAACAATAAATGCAAGAATGTCGGAAACTTTCTTTAAAAGCGGTAAGTTGTGGAAAATATTTTGTAAAGATTTTTCGCTTAATAAATGTTATATGTAATTTAAAAAAAAATTTAAATATTTATCGCTATAAAATTTAATAAACTTCTGGTTGTTAATGCAATCAGAATACAAGAGTCAGTGCATCCGAAAAAACATTTTCCACTGACTTCTAACCATGTGGTTGTTGGTACCAATTAATCGTCAAGAATGTACTCTTTCTAAACTAGTGGGAAGATAGTCATCACTTTTTTGACCCCCCTTTAATAAGCGAGAGTCATGACAGTCGTCATTTTACCATACCCATGTACATAATTTAAACAGTAGAGACTTTAAAAATTATTTAGCGAAAATTTGTCACTGCCATGTATTGACTAAATTTGACATTCTTCTAGGACAAACACATGTTACCTATGCAGTCAGTAGCCAGGGTCAACCCTAAGTAGTAGGTTAAATAGATGGTCCAGGACTATCACCACGGAATGATGTGAAGTAAGAGTGCTTGAATATTACACAATAGTTAAGTACAATAACATTCAAAGTGGGTTTAGGTTTTGTCCGTATAAGATGATATTTCTCTAAAATTTCTAGACTTTGTTTTGGACATATCGTGTTTCCGCTTGTTTTTAAACGGCGCACGGATATTTTGTTCTAAATATCAGCATGTTCTTGTAACTTTCCTTTGATAATGCTGTCACTGAGTTGACAATCTTTGGCCGAGTAAGACTGGGGTCATTCCGGAGAAAAGAAAGTCGTGGGAACGCTAAATATTGCTTATCTTTTTATAACTAATCCTGATGAATAAATTGTTTGCTACATTATTAAATGTTGGGACTTCTCGCATATAAACTATATCGCATTTATTTGGATGACGGACCAAACAAATATCTCAAGTATGTTTTACATGGACATACAAGGGTTAAAGTAAATTGTGTGCATTCAAGTTATTTTCTTCTACTAAGAAAACTTTCCTTTTTCTTCCGCTTCGCATGAGGCTCAATGGTCTAGGGGTATGATTCTCGCTTTGGGTGCGAGAGGTCCCGGGTTCAAATCCCGGTTGAGCCCGCTCAACTTTTTTCCTTTTGTATGATTTATTTTAAATTTATACAAATAAAACAGAAAATATTTATTTAGTTATTTATTGTTCATTTCTAGTGTTTATTTATAGAGGATTGTTTTCATAATCAACTACCACTTTTCCAAACGTTAGTTTTATATAAATATAAATAAATTTATGTCTGTTAGCCTGTGTTTCCTTTAGATAACTTACTAAAACTGTTAAGTGTTTTAATGTTTTATTCGTTTTTTAAGTTCCACTTCCTCATATGAAGTTATCACTTAAAACAAAATGCAGAACTTTGAAAGAATTTTTTTGAAATTATGAAATATTTATAAACGAGTAATGTTTGTCTGTAATCGATAATCTCAAGAACTACTATATCAAATATATTCTTATGGACTCGAGGAATATTCCTGTGAAGTATTAAATTATTTAGTTGTTCATTATAAATCCGTCATTATATGAAAAATAGAATTATTTAGATACTTACTTAAAGAATTAATTCCTTTAGAGATCTGTTTATTTTCTCCAAAAGCACGATGTTTTGTAGTCGTTTGTAGAAAAACGCTCGCATATATGCTGTATGTTTATTTTGTAAGTTTGGTCCATCCATTATCCTTTAGGATATGTTTATATTGTGTGCCAGCAAGAGGCAGAGTAAGGGCGAAAGGTAGCAGGAGTTTTTTTCTTGTTGATGTTTTCATTGATATTTCTTCCTTATGGTGTGCGTGTGTGTGTTTGATACTCATATGGGAGTAAGGACAAGTGTATGTCTTAATGTCCATTTCCAATGTTTGTTTATCACAATATTGAGTTGTTGTTGTTGATGATGTTGCTATTACTGTTGTTGTTGTTATTATTATTATTTCTATTACTCGGTTATGATGAAATCAAAACATTTACATATTTCAAACCATCTTGAAGTATAATTCATCCATCATTCTTCATGCAAGCAAACTTCATAATATTAGACACTATCAGGCTATGCAAAGAATATTACAAAATTATTATAGTGTTCCATTCCTCAACCAGTAGGAAGGAAATTGCTGTTAGAGAGATGGATAGCAGGAGAAAACTTGGTATTAAGTTTGTTGGCTGGTCAATTGGTTGGTGTTGCTGTTGTCTGTCTTTTTTTCTATTTTTTATTTTTATTATTTTAACAATGTTGTTTTTCGTTTATTATTTTTTTTTTTCTGTTCGACTACATTTTCAATTAAAAACGAATTGTTTTCTTATTGTCTTTATTGTATGTGTGTGTTGATGATAAAATGTTTATTTAGGTCCAGTGCGAAAATGGTTGTTGCCAAGCATGACGAACTTTTCTACAACTTTATTTCAGTTTTTTTGATAAGATACTATTAACAAAAGGAAGTCCATTTTATGCTTCAATGTTAAATTCCCATATGTATCGGTGATCAAGATGATTGCTTTTGAAAAACTGTGAATTTAAAATATGTATTTTGTATTGTTTTTTACATTTCTTTTATTTTGCACTTGACTAGAAACTTTAGTCTAAGATTTAAAAGTTTTGTTTTTAAAGATATAAATAAACATATTTGAAAGATAAAGTCCATTAGAATTCATGATGGTTAAGGAAGGAATGATAAGAAAATGCTATAAGTTGTGAGAAGTAAATATTTAGCATAAAGTAATGTTAGATCCAAAAAATGTATAATGTACATATTATAATCACGGAGAACAGGTCGTCTACTACATGCATGGAGATGACAACTTGAGAATGAAATATCACAAAGCGGTTTCAGTTAGAGGGAGATAAAGTAAAAATCATATGGTAGATCCGAATTGAGCTAACTTGTGGTGGCCCTTTGTTCCTCATGGGAACCTTGCCAGTACCAATTTTCTTTCGATTAATAGCAAAAAAAACAGAAAACTATTAAAAATCAGGAAGAGCAGAGCTCTGTTTCTGAGTTAGGGAGAAATAAATATCTTCCCATTGAATAGTTCTTAATGTAAAATGACTTCAATAAAGAAATCTCTTGACCTGACCGTATCCTCTCTGAGATCAAATATCCATCATCTGATTTTAGAAAGCTTTTTCAAAGTGAAGTCAGTAGTAGTTTTATAGAAAGTAAAGATGTGTTGTTGTGTGTGCCTCCTGTACCCAGATTGGTCACAGACCGATTATTAAAAATGTAATGGGCTCAACCGGGATTTGAACCCGGGACCTCTCGCACCCAAAGCGAGAATCATACCCCTAGACCATTGAGCCGACATATATCCTTTCCGGAGTTAGTATACAAAAAATACAAGAAGATATTAACTACATAAATTAAAAAGGTTTTTGAAAGCCGGATAAAGGGTTTTATAAAGGTCTTAACCTTAAACTTAGTTGTTTAAACGCCAAATATCTATTTGAATTGGGAGAAGAAGTCAAATATTTATGGGTAATTATAACCTATATAAAGGGTTTTTATTGAACCTGACTTATGACCTCGAAGATTCTACAACAATCCTACATTGTATAAAATACAGTGGGCTCAACCGGGATTTG